AAGCAGTTTTTCGAAATATTTTTCAATTAAAAAAATTTTTTTAAGATTAAATTTAATTTAAAATTTTAAATTTAGAAAAGCTATTATACGATGAACTTTTATCAACTTTTATCTCAAGTCAGTTTTTTCTAAAAAAAAGAATGCCTTTGTGTTTCAAAAAATATTTTTTGCGTACTTCACTCAAACATATTTCAGAATGGTTTCGTTCTAGTTACCGAGCCAATCTACATAAAATCAGAGAACAACGATGTGGTATTAACATCACCATCCGGACTGTCTACTAAAAGTCGGCTATCAATCGGTAAACGAATGAAGCGCTTCGGCTAAAATTACTTTAAAATAAAAATAATATTTTCCCCATTTCTCTAAGTCTATTTGGAATATTTCCAATCTTTTTTTCAAGTTGATCCGTTAATTAATTTCTGAATTTATCAATTTAAGAAGTTTATTAGATAATTAATCATAAAATTTAATTAACTGGACTATTAACTGGAAAAAGGCAAAAATGTATTTTTACAATTGTTATTAATATAATTCTTTTAATTTTAAAAAATCTGACTTTTCTATGACAAATCTGACGAAAATATTATTTAAAAAATGAAGTTTTTTAGTTTCCAATTAAATTTTTGCGAGCGAAAGAAAAGAAACTGAGATCTTACGAAATTGCGGAAAATAATTAATTAAAACAAATCTAAATTATTCTAAAACAGAAAAATTTAATTAATTAATAAGATGGGGCCACAGGCCAAATTATATCTTTTTAAATATCATTTTATCATTATCATTATCATTTTCAAAGCCAAGTGCACTCAAAGGGTTTTATTTCAAATAGAAAAAATCGAGAAATCACGGAAAGTATACGTGAGATCACGTTAAATAAAAAAGAATAAAGCGCGAAAATTTAGCAAGTATAAAAGAGTTTGTGATTTTTAGAAATTTCTTATTTCGCGAACTAAAAATTTAAAATCCATGAATACTGCCAGTGCGGGGTCAACAGGGGAATAAACCGGAGGATGCGAACGAGGGCACCCCTCAACCTCACCCTCCCCCTTCCCACCTCCTTATTTCGAATAAAAATTACCATCTCATTATAGAAATCATTTGAAGGAAAGAAAAAGAGCGGGCGCGGTTCAACCAACACACAAACACACACACACATCACACACATACACATATATACACAATTCCCATTCGAAACCAAAAACTCTTTAAATAAAATCGATACGTAAAAATATATCATTTGATTGACGAAAATACACGAATAGAGTGAGCCACGATCCCAGTACCACTCGGCCGTTAGGTTCCTCTTGGAGGCACTCCCATAAGCGGGTCATCATCCACGAACCATCCCCCTTCACCATTTTCTGTTTAATTTGTACTTTGATCACTACAATGAGACGCGTCGCGTTTGGCCGCGACGCTTCATGGCACTATTTCGCGTCAATGTGTGTAGACACACTATTTGTCATTTTCAACGTCATTTAACCGACAATCAAACAAGAAATGAGAGAAATTTTATTGAATATCTGCTCTCTCCTCTTTTAATATATTGTCTAGAATTTGTCCTACCTCATTCTGTTTCGTTGTTTTTAATACTCTCTCGAAGTTGTTTTTCTCTAACGTCTATGAGAAAACCACTTACTATCATTTATCATTATTCGACCGTCTAACACTCTCTTCTTTTTGTATGAGCACTCGTCGAATGAATGATATTTGCGCATTTTTTGTTCGAAAAAAACGCGAAAATTGAATAGAATAGATGGATGTACTTGTGGATACGATTTTTATTTACAAAAATATTCTATAGAAATAATTTGGTAACTTGTCGGTTAGATGGATAGCAGTGGTCTTCGCGAATGGGAAGTGGATGGTGAGAGAAGAGGGAAAAAGTGGGGGAGGGGAGGGAAGCGGGGGAAAAGGGAGAGGGACTGGCGAAAAAACGAGGGAAAAGAAACACAAGAACACAGAAGAATGCTGCAAACAGGCGATGTCCACATAGCCGAAAAGTTTTCAATTCTTTTCTATAATAAATTATTTTTATTTATTCCTTTATTTCGTGATTATTATTATTATTATTATATTTATAAAAAATTCGATTTTATTGACGTTTTTTAGTTTATTGACGAACAAAATATATTTGAAACATAGAAAATAATTTTAAAAGAATTAAAAACGAAATTAGACGATTTGTCTTTTTTGCCTAATTATTCGCTGAGCTAATATCTGCTTTGGCACAGTTCGATTGCTTTTCTCGCTTTCAGAAAGAGAAAATATTTCGAAGGCTTAAGGTTAAGCTAGGAGTTTATACTTTAACCTCACCCTGAGCACTAAACTTTTTTGTATTCTTAGAAGAATCGTTTTAAAAGTGAAGTGTGAGTGGTGTGAGCTATGGTTTTTCCGTGGATGTGGCTCATTGTTTAAAGATCTTTGATCTTTCCTTATAACCAGTGGACCCAACCAGTTTAGAAACAGTGGAGACTGCTGTGGTCAAAAAAAGTGGAAGGAAAATAAAAAATAATATTACTTACATGAAAATTATTTAAAATAATAAACATTACTTTAAATTACTTTAATCGAATAAAATGCAGGTTAAAGCATTTAAAAATGGCCAATCGTGTCAAACACATTTCGAATTCAATTTGTAGACCAATCTAAAAATTCTTCTGGGCCACGTGAAAAGGAAATGGTCGAAAATGCTTAAATTCTCGGAAAATGGAAATATCCCCGCAGGGATCGAATAAACTAAAATATTCCCTAAAAAGATGCTATGTTTTTATTCTAACGACTTATGCTAAATAAATTTTTGAATTCTCAAAAAATCGGATAAGTTATCGAAGCTGCAGTTTATTGCTTCAGCTGAGGGCAAGAAGCTCGAGCTCAGTGGCGAGAGAAATCTGCCACTAAAGAGGAATTGAGGTCCGTGCAAAGAAACCACCACTGTTCCTATAGCCAAATGTTGTCGTCCTAAAAGTTCGCGCAGTAATTCTTGTCTCGCTCTAAGGCATTTTTATCCTCTTATGCAAGTTCAGCTTCCATGCCACTATGGAGGATCACATATTCCTGTTTCTTTTTTATGCGCTAGGAATAATGAATTTATTTTTTTTTCATATTTGGTATGGAAGATGTTTTTGACGAACGGTGCAAATAGCTCGAAATACATGAAAATTTTTGGTCTGCAATGCAGCTGAAGGAAAAAAATAATGCAAGAAAGGGTTCGCAATGTTTGCAGCTGGAGAGGCCCTCTGTAAGCCACTGATATAAGCCTTTGGTGGCTGTTTGGAAGTTTAGGTGGGCATAATTTTTCCTAACCATAGATTCACTAAGTTGTACAATTATGATTAATACATCACTTCCTAAATCTTAGTATAGATCATAAGAGAGTCATGCAGCAACAAATCGAAGAGTTTATTAGAAAACTCTGCTTATTAGAGTTATTAGAAAACCAGGACTGACCAACAGAAATTTCTATCGTTCTTCATAATATCGCGAGACGGGATGTCGCAAGAACGACCTTCAAAAAGTGAATCGAAGTATTCCTATCTGCTACACTTCTTCATACCCAAACTTCTGGATAGGCTTTTCTCTTTCCGCTCTATCCACAGCTTCCTTAAAGAGATATTTCGAAGACCAGATGATCTTCTCTTCAATTCGTTGCCTCCATTGTTTCTTTTGTGCAATCAATGCAATGCAAAAATATAAAAAATTGCGAAGAAAAAGTGATGAACAATTGATAATAGCTGATAAAACTTTCATCATTTATTTATTTTAATCAACTAACAAATGCAACTAAATTTTAGTGTTTTACCAACACTTTCTTTCATCCGGAAAAAAATTATTTAAAATATTTATTGCGTTTCTTTCTAACTGAAATAGTCTGAAAACAATTTCATGAAATTATACCCGAAAGAAAAAATATTATTTTTAAAAATAATTTTAAATTGGTCGAAAAAGATTTAAAAAATCTCAATTTATAAAAATTTATCAAATTCATTACTTCAGAAAATAAAAAAATTGCGGGATTCTATGAGCAAAGTGATGAGAAAGTGCCAGTTAGTAGAAATGCACCATATTCACCACGCCACATAGAATTGACTTTTTGTGACGAAAACTGCGGATCCAGTGGGTAGAAATGCACCATATTCACCACGCCACATGGATTTGACTCTTTGTGACGAAAACTACGGATCCAATAGGTAAAAATGCACCATATTCACCACGCCACATGGATTTGAATTTTTGCGGCGAAAATTAAGGAATAATTAACCGAAACTAGTAATTAAGGCATTTACTTTGCATAAAATATAATTTTTTATCATCATGCAAATTAGTGCTTATCGTTATCAGTTAGAATCCTATTATGGAAGTCATTTGGCAATAGGATTATACGCGAGCTTTAAACATTTTTTAAATTAAACAAATTTTCACTGCGAATTTTATCCGAACCACTGACTCGCAAAATGATCTAAGGTTTCCTTTGGAAGATTATGGTGGAAAATTTTATAATCATTTTTATTAGCAGTTGATTTTCAGTTATTCAACAATTGTCTCGTTCTTAGAGTTAAATGGTATGTTTCGATGAAATCAATCATTTCAGGTTTAATATCTGCTCCTTGAATGAAATAAACATGAAGAGCGAAATTCAGATTGTGCTGCTTATCTTTCCTCTGGCGAAAAGGTCTTATCATAGCAGTTGGGAAAGCAATCAGACTGGGAATAACGCTTATCATTAGAAGAAAAAAAATTTTAATTTCATATAAAATAAAAAACTTCAAGCGAAATTATTCATCATCAAAAGACGAATATGGAGCATAAGCTCGAGCACGATCCCGGTTAAGGATAAGACGAGCTGGAAATCGAAACATTCCTGAAGAATGTATGAATATACTGTCGTTTTTGAACGTCATTTTGCATAACTTATCAATGAACAAAATAATTATTGGTGATCTGAGATTTTAGTATAGTGAATGGGAGATCTAGATTTAAAATGAAAGAACATGCAGCTAACCTTTTTCACCCCAAGAAGTTCCCCAAGTATTAACACCTAGGAATACGGTTTCGTTATTAACTAATTCCCATCCAATTATCTTCACGTGATAACGGAACAATTCGTTTTCTGACGATTGCGATATTGGATCATAAATTCCTGAAATAATAAAGAATTCAGTAAAATTAATTGATATTAAATTCCAGCTTCCACTGTAACTGGAATATTCGAAATAATACTCAGTGGATCAACAAAAAATTGTACCTGATTTGTACAACAAAAAATCTTCGTACACTAGAAGATCAACAGAAATAGGGCCACGTAGATAAATTTCCTTCTTAACAAGATCCAGCCATCTTATATTGTCAATTGTTAATTGGCGGTGAATAGTTTCTCCTCGGTACCATTGTTTAGGCCTTCGATCACTAATAACTGACCTCTCAATCAAATTTACGTATAAGCCTGGAGTTTATCAAATTTAAGAGGTCACTTGAGGAATACAATAAAAATTTTCTTTAGAACTTGCTAGTTGTAGTTTCTAGATTTTCATATGAAAATACTATAGTTTTGTTTCACCATAATGAACATTATCTTGTTTACGATCGTATACATCAAGATATTTATGTTCTGGATTAAAACAATCGCTAAAACATGAATTAATATTCTTTCGTATCGTTCGATCAGCTTTTTTAGTTAGTGATAAAGCACATGGTTGTCCACAACTTTTATCAATAAGTGATAGTAAATTATTTGATGGCTGACATAACTCTGAAAACCTCGTCTTTTATTTATTTTTGCAATAGGAAACAGAACTTTTTAAATTTATAATTTCAGAATTTCAATTTTTTTTTAAAATACGATATTGCAAATTTCAGGATTTTATAGTCTTGTAGGGCTTATAATTTATAATTTATAACTTACAATTTATAAATTTATAAGTTTTCAAGATTTCTGAAGAGACTATAACTATTTACATTAAATATCCTTTCAAATAAAATATCTTTTTGTTCTAATAGATATTTCCAAAAAAATCAGTAAAAAGATTATTAGTCCTTCTGCCACAGTGTCATCAATGGCATAATGAAAATGGACGTCCAATTCTTAAAATCCATGGGAATATTAATTTCTCAGATATATATTTATAATTAAGAGTGTCAGAGTGATTGCTGTTTAAATATGTATCATTCCGAGTATCATGGCTGGCTAGGAGTTAAGGCACCATTAAGAAATCAATGCTACCGCCAAGTGGGAGCCAACCATTGTAAGTCATTGCTACCGCCAAGTGGGAGTCAACCATTGTAAGGCGAAATTTCCCTACTCAGTCAGTCTATGGAGCCAGAAATGATGAGTACTAACCATTTAATTAATGAAGCTTTATATAGTACTTTAATAGTTTTACTTTTATGAGGTCATGGTGAGAATTCTATTAAAAGGTATGTAAGAAAATTTGTGATAAAAATTGTGTTGAAAATTCTTTAAATTTCGATTCAAAAAATCTCGAATTTAAATATATTTTTAAAAATTCTAATATTAATTCGATAATTTATTTATAATTATGAAATAATTTATAAAAAACCGCTGATTTTAGCTTTTTTGATGAGCTAAATATATCGTTAGACTAACCGCTTGTAACACCATACTTAATCCAGTGCATGTATACTTCTTCAGGATCGCCACCTTTGCAATTTCCGCAATGCTTACAACATGCTAATATATGAAATTTTGACAGTTTTATATGGCTCTTGCCATTTGATGAAATACATAAGCGATCTTCAGTTGTCGATACCGTAGTATATAACTAAATTATAATTAAAATTTTCTGCTTTCCAATATTCAAAAAGTTTTCAATATTTAGGAACTTTTTTGAAAAATCAATTTATTTCGCAAATTTAAGAAAGAAAAGTATTTTACTTTTATAAAAGATAAAAGTATTTATCTTCTTTTATTACTCTTTTAAAAAAGTGAAAAAAATTGAAAAAATTTCCAGATTTTAAAGTTGATGATATAATGTTTCGCAATTACGGAAAAAAAATTGGAAAAATCCATGGTGATTACGAGGAGGCCAGAAGAAAGAATGGCCGCTAAATTCCATGCTGATCTCATTAAAAAATTATGAGAAAAAAACGCATCTTTGCTTAATCAACCTACCCAATATAACCAACATGCGCCTTGATCATATATTTTCCCAATTGCTGAACTACATATCGGCCAATGTCCTCTGCAGTCGAACTTTTTCATGGCTGATAGAGGTATTTGAACTTTCGTTAACATGTCGTGCATTAATTTATAATTTTTCCGAGATCGGAAAGTTTCAGCATAATTCTTTAAATAATCCTCTTCATACTGAAAATTTAATAGCACTCGATTACAAGCAATTGTGACTGCTGAGGGCCCATTGGTACTTCATCCATAACTGAATCTTTGGAAAAATGGTCACATCAGCAGGACTCAACCAGATAAAAATGAACAATATTCGATGCAAGAAAATTAAGTATAAAGAGTTAAAATCTATTTATGCATATTTTCCGGGTACCATTGATTAATAAGTAAGATTGATAATAACATTAATAAGTAAAAAGTGGCTTCAACGGTACTAAAAAGAAAATTTCTCTAGATATCTTAATAAAATAACCATAGTGGACGAATAATTTTCCGCTTGTCGTATTTGTGTTCCCGATTCTTTTAGCTGCTTTTGATTAAATGCATTTGCGTTGTATTCTGCCTAAAAGATCAAAAAAATATGAAAGGTAAGAAGTTAAATAAAAATTATATGATCGCCTTATATTGAATAAAAGAAGCAGCAAAAGAAGTGGAAGAAGGATGGCCTATGTTACTTTGGCTGAGATAAAGCTTTGTGAGCTTCCTGTTCAATGAAAATGAAAAATTTTTATTAAACCCGCTCATTTATGAAAAAATGTCTGGCGAAGGGGCTCCACTTCAGCAATTAGTCGCTGAGCAAATCAAACCAGAAATGATGAAAAAATATTATTAGCAAAAGAAAAAAAGTGATGCTTGAAAGTCCATGAAAATCCATGAATCAGTATTCCCACTGCATTGTTCACTACTTTTCAAACTTTTTAAATAAGAATAACAATTATAATAATAAAAATAATTAACATTAAAATAACCTTCCAACTTGCTTCTGAATTAATTCGATGCGTCAGTTCCAGAAAATATTCCGATAACTCATTCTTTTTTATTGGCGCCTCACTTGATTTATCATAAATTATCATCGGCACAATATAAAGTGTGATGAATATTGTTGATAATAATATAAATGCCTAAAAAAAAGGAAATATACTTAAAAATAAATCACTGAATAATTATCAATTATTAAATAAAAATATTTCATTTTTTGCATTGATTTTTTCATAATTAGGAAATCTCATTGGATTTGCATAGGAAAATGAAATAAAAATTTAGTAGAAAATATTGAAAAACTAAGAAATCACCCCAAATTGCAATTAAATTTATTGTCTCAATATTTTTTTTTCTTCCCTCGCTTCCTAAATTGCAGGTGGTGCTCGCAATCTGCTTATATTTTCCAAATATTTGTCTGGTTAGCTCATGAAGCTCACGAGCCTAACAATGGCGAATGCGAATTCTCTCTCTTCTCTCTATGTTCGAATGTTTTCGAAAAAAAAGTATAATTTTAACCAGTAAAAAGTATAATTTCCACTGAAAATATTCATCTCGACGGGCGTTATCATTAACGACACGATATTCTAATGCTCCTCTAGCTTCTCGATGTCGTGCTTTTCCAACTTTATTGTTCATTTTTCACAGCTGAAAATATGAAATCCTAAATAAATCCAATGCAACATATAATATGCAAATACGATAAAAAGTAGCAAAAAAAAGAACGAATATAATTATACGCATAAAAAGCTAAGATTTTAACGAGTTCATCAAAAATAAATATTAAATGCATTTCACTGATCCAAATATCGACGGCACCTCTGGAAAGGCCGATAAGGCCGTTTTTACCTATTTAAAGATGTCCGTAAAGATGTTCATTCCACTTTGGGATACCCGAACCTCAAAAGAGCAATGTCAGGATGAAATGGCGAAGTGCGTACAAGATATATCAGAAAATCCTCAAGAGATAAGGCAAACTGTGAAAAACATGGAAGAAACATCGTATTGCATATCTTTCCTTTAGATGGAAGACCAAATATACTAAAGGCTTATTAGGAGTTTATTACGATACCATTGAAACGATAGCAATTGAAGAATCTTGGCTAGGCCAAAGGAAATTCAGCGAACCGCTTGGAATTCAACTTTAAAATAACAAATAAATAATTGTTTGCATTAATCATTCCTGGATAAGATCGTTCTATTTTTCATACGACGAAAAATTTCATGAGGGAATCGCTTCGGAATCAATTGTAGATGGGTTTTTTAAATCATTACTAGGATTTCACAATGATATTCCTCCCCAAGATTATCTTTTATCTTAGCTTCTAACGATTGACTCGAGACGATACTATGAGCAAAAGCTATTTATTTATCTATTCTGTCTATCTACTGAGCGGTATGGTCAGTTATTTGCTCCGACGCATTCGATTATTTTAAGAGCCATTAGTACGAAAGCTTCTCGAAACTTCTTTGGGTTAAACGAGATAAGTTTTTTTTTCATAAATTTTCACTTCAAATAAAATTTTAAAATATGGTATATGAATATAAAAATTTATAATACTCTAAAATAAATAGCTTCATTAACCAATGTATATCTTTGGCAGGAGTAAAAAGCAGGAGTAAAAATGTCACGTCAAAAATCCGAATGGTCCCGCCTGTATCTCTATCTCCAAGTGATTCTGTGGTGAAAGGGTCAGACAATTTTGATGCGCCGTACGTATCTCCCGACGCGCATAATATTCCCAGCCCGATGGTAAATGCACAATTCGGGCTTAAAGCGATCACAAGGCTTATAAATAAAATCGCAAGCCATGGTGACTCATCAAAGAGAAAGTTCTCTGTACGGCGGCGAGGAATTAGCCATATCAGCGTGGAATGTCCGAATGCTTATGGACATTGCAAGTCAAGCGATCACCCTTTCTAAATATCGCGTGGATATAGTTTACCTATCGGAAACCCGTCTTCTTCATTTCGGATCTCAAGTAATTATAATCCTGGCTCGGAGCAGAGATACTGGCTATGGTTATGGTGCTTCGAATAATGGCGTAGCGACTGTCATGTCTGACAAGGCCCATTCCGCTTTGATAGAGTGAAAACTGGTAAACAACCGTATGACCTATGCCTATTTTAAGAGTAAGTTCTGTCGCGGTATCGCGATCATCAGTGTCTATGCTCCAACTCTGTCGTCAGATGACCGTGATAAAGATAAGCCGAATTGTTGAAGCAGCTCAGTGATACAAATATCAATGACTTTTCTGGAACGGCAAATATTAATATTAATCCAAACTAAAAAAATGTCTCCGAAAGCCACTTCCACGCTAGGGCATACTAGTAAGACGTGCGCTAGTTGGGTATCGGAAGCAACTATTCAACTGTCTGAAAAAGCTGACAAAGCACGAATGTCAGATGATCCTGACTACCGGATGCTTCGAAGATTTACAACGAAAGCAGCAAGGAGGGAGAGAAATCACTATCGAAGTAACATGGCCTTGTAAATGGAGATTTGATTAGGCGATAATAGGGAATTCCGCCTTCTTCATAAATCTTAATATCTTAAATCTTCATAAACCAATTGTGATTCGTGGAACGATCAGTGAAATGGTAAAAAGCAGCAGGGGCGTATGAAGAGTATTAAGGACCGCTAAGATGAAAAGAATTCTTTAAGGCCAAACTTAACCATGAAGCACCGCCTATTGTGCTTGATGTAGCTGATACGTTTGCTGAACCGTATGCTTGCAACTGCGGGCCCCCGATAAAAGAAGAAACAATATCTTTTATCCATAAGCTTAAGGCCAATAAGACTCCTGAGATATTCTTCGGGCTAAAATATTGTCTATCGTCCTTCATAACGCACCTTCAACAAATGTACTCTCTGGTATGGAAAAAAGAAATATTACCAGATGAATGGAGCAAAGCAATTCTGCTCCCAATTCCCAAAAAGGATGATAGGACATACTGCGACAATTATCGAGGGAGGGATTAGCCTACTAGACGTCTCAGAGAAAATTTTTGCTTCCCAACAGATTTATGGAAGTACGGGTCGGCAAAATGTGCCCTAATTAAGCTGGATTCAGACCGGAGCGCAGTTGTGCTCCAGATATTCACGTCAAGAACATCGCTTCAAATATTTGCAATCCACCGTTAGGTGTTTCAACAGTTTTGCTTTCGATTCAGTTGATAGAACAGCGCTTTGGAGAGTGATGGTGCGTGACGGCCAGAGAAGATCATTCGACTTATAAAGGCATTTTATGAGCGTACGTCGGCGCATGTCTGTGTATATGGGGAACTGATAGAGCCCTTCGAAAACTAGTCTCCGTTAGGGCTGCATCCTTTCCTCCACAATATTCAATTATGCCATAGACTGGGTAATGGACACTGTTTGTCGACACTCAGGGAGTGTCCAAATCAGTCCAGAGCATCGTATCACAGACCTTGAATACGCTGATAATGTAGTCCTTTTTGCTGACAGTTATGACAAAATACAAGTAATGCTAAATAACGTATCAGAACCTGCAGCAAGAATCGGACTCACAGTCAATGTATACAAAACAAAAGTGTTTTCATCTTATATATAAGAAGCTAATAAAATGCTTCTTTTTGTAAATTCATTGCCGGTCGAGAAAGTGCCCGATTTTAAAATCCTTGGGTCCACTCTGATACCAAATGGCCTGGCAAAAGACGATATTATAGCCCGGATCACGGTAGCTAAAAATGCGTTCTTCCGATTGACGAAACGAAATCTTTATGGAGCCGTCGTGAAATTACTATTAAAACGAAAGTCCGCATCTATATAACCATGATTCGTTCGATCTTGCTATATGGCTCTGAGACATGGCAAATAGGAGTGGAGGACATTAAGAACCTATCTACCATTCTTGTCTAAGGTACATTTTACGGGTCCGTTGAGCGGATAAAATATCACATGATCGCATCCATCTTCGTTCAAATACCACTTGCATTAATAAGTCGCCTTTGATGGTTGAGGCACGTTCTCCGTCATCCACCACAACAGTTGAGCATATTTCGGTACTTGCTAAGTCGTGTGATGGATGGCATCAAAAGCGAGGTGGGCCAATCAAGACCTGGACTGATACGGTCAGAAAAGATTTTAAATATAGATGGACAGCAATACATGGACTGCAGACAATGGAAAAAGGAATGGCTTCAGTTACTGTCGACAATGATATCAGATCGCGCCGCTTGGAAGCGTCTTATTCTTGTAGCCGCTGGAGCCAGCCCAACCAGTAATGGTGAGAGTTGTTAGAAGAAGAAGAAGAAAAGCTATTACTATTACTATTACTATTCGGCTATCGCACCTTAGCTATATGTTTTAGGATAACACCCATTGCTTTAAAAAAACTTTTAAAACTGAACTGCAAATTTTAACGATCAGTTTCTTCCAAATAAATGTGTATAAAATCTAAAATGAAAATTTGCAATAATAATATTATTACTAAAAATAATATTAATATTAAAACTGTGCTAAAAAATGGGCAGAATCGATGAATCGTTTGAGGATCAAGCAAAGCGTGGCTACGGCTGCGGCTGCGGTTTTGTGTTCGATTCTTCTCCTTTTTGGACACGATTCAATTCGATTTTATTGATAGGTGGTTGGTGGTTTGAGGGTAGGTTAACAGTTTTAATCTGTTTTACGTGATTTCTTTAGTTGAAATTTTCGTTTATGTCATTTTATAATATATTATAATGATAATATATCGTCATCTAATTGTTATATTGTTATTGTTATATTGTTGTAAATAGAGGCTTAATTACCCAAAATTTGAGATGCACATCGAATGATAATTACGATACTATAATGAAAAATGAGCTAACAAAACAAGATAATCTGTGAGAACACCTGTCTTTCCTTTTTCGTTACATGGGGCTGAGGAGAGGACGAATAACAAGGATAAGGAATTCGATTAAAAATGGTTACGCTATTTCACCTTTTCATTTTTATTACATTCTTAAACGACTGCGAGATACTTTTAAAAGATTATCAAACTTTGGAAAATGTCTACGATGATCAAATTCCAAATCCAAGATATAATAACGATTTTACGCGAAATGAAAATGAATGTGGAACAAAGGGCTAATGACCGAAAGTGCGATGAATTAGTAAGGAGTCAACTTAAAGAAGTGTATCAAAGGGATTTGAAAGAAGTACTGGAAGACAAATAAGTAGAATTTAGCTTAAATCAATTCAAGGACCTCGACAAACAATGGACAGCAGCATTAGTTGGAAACTCAAGATGGGAGAAAGCATACGAAAAATTTTTGGACGATTTATCTGTCCAAGAATCGGTCACTGAGGCAAGCAGGTGCCAAGTCTACTCCGATATATATAAAAAGGACCACTCCGATTTATTCGTATTTTGGATATTTGTTGGTAACTCGAAGTGCTTGCTTCTTCATCTTTTGCAATATATGCACTCATTGTTGATAATTTTTCCAATCGTTTGAATGCGTTTAGGTATCCAATAAGTTTCGATTATGGAGCATATTGTTGTATTAGTCGATGCATGTAGCAATTATTAATCCACAACATTTGGTTAATCGATGATCAGTTGTTCGAATTTTCCTTTTATCACTCGAAAATCATTTTTAATTGATAGGCTAAATTTATGGATATCTTTTTCCTTTACCCTCTCTTTGAGCTTGTATTAAGATCATAGGAATACCATAGGAATTTTTAATATTAAGATCTTCCCGGCCTGTTGTATTTGTGGAGTTATTGGACCTGTTGAAATCTCCCTATTGCAATAATTTCTGTTGCTAAATAGGTTGATAAAACGTAATACGCCATTACCCTTCGAAGTCTTGTAATATTACTGAATTTTTCATAATCTAATATAGATTATAATTTTGGTACTATTTTTGCCACTGTGTCCAATAATTGTGTTTGTTTATAACTTTCACCGTCCTTTAGTTTATTCACGCCTGGGTGTTTGCAAAGAATTTTAATCCTCGCTTTCAAACGCCCGAAAGATTTGACATAGTTGTTTGGTAATTTTAACTGTGTTGATAAATTGACTCGGTATCATTTCCATCTTGTCAGCAAATTGTTGTATAGCTAAATCATTCATTATTTCGTTATTCATTATTTCGAAGCCTCGATCCCCATTCATTCTGGTAACGGGAACTGGTCCAAGTCCAAGTTGTTATGAGATTAATACTTGTTGTGTTTGGTGGCAGATGGCAGTTTATTGACCCAAAACCGGCTAAAAAATTGCCGACCTTACTGTGACATAAATTAAAATCGGAGATCAGTCGTTTTAGTCATACAATATCAAATCTTTCGAGAAAATCGATACCAATAATTATCTGTGGTTTTTCAGACACGATTAACACTGAAAGCTTCTTGCCTAAATTCAATTGTTCGTATGGTAATTTCGTCTTCTTCTTCTTCTAACAGCTCTCACCAATACTGGTTAGGCTGCCTCCAATGGCTACAAGGGTAAGACGCTTCCAAGCGGCGCGGTCTGATGCCATCGTCGACAATAATGGAAGCCAATCCTTTTTCCATCGTCTAAGTCCATATATTGCTGGTCCACCTATACGTTCAAAATCTTTTCTCACCGCATCAGTCCAGGTCTTGATTGGCCCATCTCGCTTTTGACGCCAACCGTCACACGGTTTAGCAAATAACGAAATATGCGACAACTCTTGTGATGAAGGACGGAGAACGTGCCCTAACTACCGAAGACGACGCTCTGTGGTAACATTATTTATGCAAGTGGTATTTGAACGAAGGCGGATGCGATCTTGTGAGATTTTATCCACTCGGCGAACCCGTAAAATATATCTTAGAGTGGTCAAACGCAGATAATTTCTTAATATCTTCCACTCTCATTGGCCATGTCTCAGAACCATATAAAAAGATCGAACGGCAATATAGATGCGGACTTTCGTTTTTATGGTGATTTCACGACGATTCCATAAAGGTTTCGTCAACCGGAAGAACGCATTTATAGCTGCCGTGATCCGAGTTATAATATCATCTGTCCATTTGGTGTTAGAGTGGACCCAAGATATTTGAAATCAGGCACTTCCTCAACCGGCAATGAATTTACAAAAAGAGGCATTTTATCAG